CCAGGCTGGAGTACAGTGGCACAATCTCAGGTCACTGCAATCTCTGCTTCCTGGGCTCTAGTGATTCTCCCACCTCAGCCCACCAGGTAGCTGGGACTACAGGCATGAGCCACCACGCTCAGCTAATTTTTGTATTTTTAGTAGAGACAGGATTTCACCATGTTGGCCAGGCTGGTCTCAAATTCCTGAGCTCAAGCGATCTGACTGCCTCGGTCACCCAGAGTGCTGGGATTACAAGCATGAGCCACCGCGCCCAGCCAGATTTTTGGGTTTTTTTTTTTTTTTTGAGACAACGTTTTGCTCTTCCTCCCATGCTGAGTGCAGCGGCCTGATCACAGCCCACAGCAGCCTCGAACCCCTGGGCTCAAGCTATCCCCCCACCTCAGCCTTCCTAGTAGCTGGGACGAGAGATGTGCACCATCATGCCCAGGTAATTTTTTAAATATTTTTTATAGAGATGGATTCTTACTGCATTGCCCAGGCTGGTCTCAAACTCCTGAGCTCAAGCCATCCTCCCGCCTCCACCTCCCAAAGTGCTAGGCGTCAGCCACTGCGCCCAACCGAGATTGTTTTGAATCAGACATTTTGCTCCATGTTCCTAAACTTTTTGTATATGGGTTTTTTCTGCTTTGTCAGAGCCTTCTTTGTGTCCAGTGTTCTGGGCTTGAAAACACCCTTGAATGTTTCCTGTCTGCAACTGGAAAAACAATACGAATCAGGAAGGAACTTCCCACTCGCCATTTTACTCTGGGGTTTGTTTTTTCCTATGAAGCTATTCTGCAATTTCACTAGTCACTCAAACAAGGCTTATACCAGGCAGGATTTTTAATTTGCTTTTTGGTAAAGCACAGATTTTCTCCTTGTAATTCTCAAAGCAACGGTGCTGCCCAGGCCTTGATAGGGTCACTTTCCCTTGACCTGGTATGGTAATGTCCAACCCTGCAGTGTGGCTAATAGGATGTTTCACTGAGCTCACTTGCCAGGCAAGGAGAACACAGAAATGTTTTCAATGTGGACTAGTTCACTGCACCAAAAAGACAGAAAACGCTCAGACC